GTACTGATATATGGGGCCTATACGAAGACGTGGACCCGCACAGACAATTTTCTGTCTTAGGGTGTAGTATCCATTTTGAACTTCAAATACTAATTTTGAAACAATTCCCGTGAATAATGTCGTTAAAATCATCAAAATACCGAATATCGGGAGGTACCGTTATATGGGGGCTATACGAAGACATGGACTTGCACAGACAATTTTCTATCTTAGACTGTAGTATTCTTTACGAATTTCAAATACCAATTTTGAAACAATTCCGGTGAATAATGTTGCTAAAATCATCAAAATACCGAATATAGGGAGGTACCGTTATATGAGGGTCATACAAAAACCCGGACCTTTACATACAATGTTTGGTCACCGGAGCTAGAACCCATTATGACCTGCAAATACCAATATGTAGACAAATCCGTGAAAAAATTTGGCGAAAATCATCAAAATACTGAATATCTGAATATCAGGGTACCCCCTACGTGGCGGCTATAACAAAACGTGACCCCCATCATCCCAATGCCAACCATACAGACATAATACAAAATGTTCTTCCAAATTCTGAAGCTCTGGGTCAAAAAACTATCACATATCTCTTATAAAGTGAAGAAAGTGACCATTATAGTCCAAAACCTGGATTTAGAAATTTACAGTTATTCTACTGATAGCAGATCCAGATTTAGGCTTCTGAAAATAAAATGAACTTTACAAGTCTCCTATATGTAGGAGACCCTTTTGAGGTATACCATTCATTAAAGTTAGGTTGCAAGCTTTTTAATGAAAGGATGTCCTTTACATTTTTTTCATTTTAAGACATAGACAAGATAACCTTAACCTCCCCTACAAACAGACTACCACTTAGGGACTTTCTATAAACAGAAGATACTTTACTGTACAGGGTGAGATAAAAAACTGCAATAAAGTCAAACGCCATAATTTTTATATATTTTTTTTTAAATTTAATTGAATGAAAGCAAAAATGTCGGAAATAGCATCAACTTTTCGAATAAGTTTAGATTTGTTCGAATTGGTTACCTTTGGCACGAATTATGGCCTTTAAATGGCCAATAATGGCCAAATCGTCACACGCTGCCCGAATGTTGCTCTGCGGTATTTTTGACCATTCCCGACAATGCGCTTGCATGAGGCGATCGACACTTTGGAATTTTTAAGTGCCAACCTTGCTTTCCAAAATGCTCCAGACACAGTCAGTCTACAGCATTCTTCAAGTAAAAGTTTAAACTTTTAACTCTTCAAGCATAAAAAAGATCGATGGAAGGCGTCTCTGAGCTTTTCCATATTAAAATACCCTTTTCGAACTCCTCTGTAGTAAAATTACCTAATGTGCTTTTCTATAGACAACTACATAAGCGAACCACTTGTAATTGACAATAATTCTGTACTTCCATTCTTTTTTACAATAAATATAAAAATATATGGGAATTAACGCCCGTAAAGCCTGTTATCATCACCCATAGCATAATTATCCTAAATACTTCCTCCTATTTTCTCTCAAATTGCTGCAATACTCTCTATCCGTTGCAGCGCTTCTGGCAAATTTGAATAAAAATTTTAACCTTTTCTCATATTTTTCAACGAACCATCAAAAAAAATGCAAGGATGTACGAGAACCATCAAAAAAAAAAAAATGCAAGGATGTACGAGCAAAAACTAATCTTCTAAATTATGGGACTTCCGTAGCAAATAAGTGAAGAAGTCAACGGAAGTTTTTTGCTGGCCCATACATACACCCACCACAAACGCCAAGCGAACGAGTGTGCTAGGATTCATTTTGTATGAATATATGTGTGTTGTGTAAGCTATTCGTACAGAAGATAAAATATACTCAGATGGTTTGTTACCATTGCTGGGCAGAATAATGATTTCATTAGGGTTAGTTTGTAGGCTAACTCCCGATGTTGAGAGAAATACAAAAAGTAAGTAGGCCGGAATACGGAAATGTAATAAGGTGTGTTTTTCGCTGCCAACATTCAAATACGCCCCAGGTGAATGGTTTTTTTCTTTCATTTTGATTGTTTTACCCCCTGACTGGTTGACGGTTAAAGCATTCTTTTTTCTCTTTTAAATTTAGATATATATTTTTGTTAAAAAATTCATGCTATATATTTAAGTATATCTCATTCGAGACTTAAAAGAGTCAGATAGACAGACATCCACCCTCATATTCTATTTGCCAGTCATTTTTCAAACCTCCTTTTTATCCATTTTCTGCTTTACTTTTTTTAGCATTTTTTGTGTTTTACATCTGAGCTACTTTTCCAACTGAGCGAAATATTTTTTCCTATTAGGCGTTATGCCTTGCGTTTGCCATTGAGGCGTAAATTGTTTGATATTACTTCCGTGTTCTAAGAATTATGTCTTTTGTACGATGATAATACGTTTTCTGTTATTTTTGGGTTACTGTTTTTTTTGGCATTGTTTTTTGCTCTCCCTCGTCTTAGGGGGCGGGTGTAGTAAATGGCTAATTGAAAAGGAAATGATGAAAGTGTAAGCATAAGAAGAATGACTTATATGAGGATAACAACATAAATATACGCCATATGTCCTTAATACTTACTAATGTGATGTAAATAAATCTTTTGTTTAACAAATGTTCTATTTTGTGCAAAATCATGGTGAGAGTGTGTGTGTGTGTGCTTGGGGGCGTTAATATTAAAATCATGACCATGAACATGGAATATGGAAAAATAAAGATTATTTAAGTCACGTATTGAAAAAAGTAACGTATGAAATGAGATACAAACAGGCGCCGCTACTACCAATGTATTTTTACAGGACCCTTAAAGGGGTTTATCTCTGTAGAAGTATTTTAGCATATCATCTCTTGTTAAAAGTTTTTTTTTTATTTTTTTTCTGTCCACAGAGGTATTCTTACCATGTAGTACCCCAAAATGGCCTTCGCTCCACGGAATACTATAAATGGTCTCCTCCTCTATTATTAAACAAGAGAAAACAAATAAAAAAACATTAAGTTCAGCCGGGCCAAACTTTTAATACCCTCCACCTTAGAAGAAATGTGGCGAAAACCATCAAAATGCCGAATATCGGGAGGTACCGTTATATGAGGGCTATATCAAATCATGGACCTAAACATACAATGTTTCGCCAACGGAGATAGAATCCATTATGGCTACAAATACCAATTTTCAGAGAAATCCGTGAAAAAATGTGTCAAAAATCATCGAATTACCGAATATTGAGAGGTACCGTTATGTGGGGACTATATCAAAACGTGGACCTATACATACAATGTTCCGCCACACGAACTAGAACCCATTATGACCCACAAATAGCAATTTTTAGACAAATCAGTGAAAAAAATTGGCAACAACCATCAAAATACCGAATATTTTGAGGTACCGTTATATGGGGCTATACCAAATCATGGACCCATACATGCAATGTCTCGTCACCGGAGCTGGAACCCATTATGACCCACAAACAACAATTTTTAGACAAATCAGTGAAAAAACTTGGCAAAAACCATCAAAATAATGAATATCGGGAGGTACCGTTATATGGGGGCTATACCAAATCATGGACCCATACATGCAATGTTTCGCCACCGAAGCTGGAACCCATTATGACCAATGAATACCAATTTATAGACAAATCCGTGAAAAAATGTGGCAAAAAAAAAATAAAATACCGAATATCGGGAGGTACCTTTATATGGGAGCTATACCAAAACGTGAACCCATACATGCAATGTTTTGCCACACGCACAGGGACCCGTTATGACCTACAAATACCAATTTTCAGACAAATCCGTGAAAAAAATGTGGCATAAATCATCAAAATACCGAATATCGGGAGGTACCGTTATATGGGGACTCTACCAGAACGTGGAACCAGAAATAATGTGGGCTGTATCGTGATTTCAACAGACGGACAGACAGACGGACATCATTAAATCGACTAAGAATTTTATGCTGATTATGAATATGTATACTTTATGGGGTCTACGACGAATATTTAAGGATTTTACAAACGGAATGACAAAGTTAATATACCCCCCTTTCCAAGGTGGAGGATATAATTATATATAAGAACACCCCCAATGACAATATGTGTTTTTTCATGCTCTTCTTTGTAGACAATAGCAATGTTTTCTCTCTTAAAACAAACACTTCAATATCTTCTTTCTATCGTGAACAATATAAATGTCTTCTTTTGGTAGAGGACCGAAAAAAGTATCCTTTCTATTGATAACCAAAAGAGTCTTCGTTATATCGAATACTGTAAAAAGACCTTCATTATTTAAAATATCTAGAAGTTTCCCTCTTCGCAAGATCTAAAAGGTATTTTCTTTATCCGAAACCAGAAAAAAATCTTATTTCAATGGAAGACTGTTATACAGATTGTTTTCTTTAGAGAAATGAGAAAGAGTCTTCTACACTATGCCTTCTTTAAGAGGACTCCCTTCTTTGTGATCCTTTTTTTGTGTGCCGTACCATTTGGGTCGATGGAATTGCCTTCAAAGCTTTCCTATTCTCAGGTCACATTTCAAAGTATTTTGTTTATAGAACACCATATCTGTTTCCTCTTCAACTTTTATTGCATTAATAGCACTTCGATAATGTTTTCGTAGAATTTCACGAAATTCGTTTTTTCTTCTCCTCAACTTGAGTTAACCTCCCACAGGTGTTACATAAATATTTCACCCAAATCTGATTGCAATTAATGGCTGGAAATAAATTTTAATTCTTACATATAAATCTGAATGTTATCGTATTTCTTTTTGCAAGTAATCTTCGTTGTCCTGGTTGTTGTTTTTTTTTTTTTTTGAGTGGGGTGCCCTTCACATTGTGTGACGTATAATTTATGTGGCTGATCCCCAAAACGAAATCACTCATACGTTCCAATTTGAAAGGCAAAATGAAAAGAAAAGAAAAACAACAACTCCCTCTCGTAAAACAAATAAATTCTTCTCCCATTTAAATTTATTGCAATTTTTTATGACTCTTTTGTTTTTTTGGTTACAGATGAATCCATTCTCTCGGAGGATCCAACACCTGCCGAAACAACGCATCATGTCAGCGGTAATGTTGGTGTTGCAGCCAGTGGTGCTGGTGCCAGTATAGGTGGTGGCCCCGAAAAACAATCAACACTATTACTGTTGGCGGCCGTTGTGGCCATTGGAGCGGTTATTGTGACATCGATTATTGTGGCGGGTATTGTGGTTGTTTGCAAACATCGACCGAGAGCACCACAGCCACAAGATGTACGCAAGAGTATGAGGTATGTAAAATATTACGAAAATATAAATTAGTCATAAATTATTCGTGTAAGAAACCCCAAAACAAAATGAGTAGAAACATGTGTGATAAGCACTAACCACGACCACTTAGCATGGTATAGCAATCGAGTATGAATGGGAGGTTATTTTTTAGGCCTTCTATCAGATATGAAATGTTTGCTGCTTTTTGCCAAAGTGTTGATATGAAAGGCAAATTACAAACGCCCAGCACCAACCTTAAGCTGATGATTGAGATTTGTTAAGGTCCCTTTTGCAGACTACACACATACATAATTCGTAGTGTTTGTGTGTGTGTGTATGCACGTATTTGAAAATGTTATTTATAACCCTGTTTTTATAATTGCCTCTTGAATTGAGGCAATTTCCATTTTTGCTTGTTTGTAGTTAATGGGTATTTTTCGGAAGTAAGTCGTCATCATCATCGTCATGTATGAAAGTATGTATGTGTGTTGTCGCTCTCCTATCCTCCTCTAATATGCAGAATAATGAATGCTAAGGACCTGCCAGAGCATATGAGTGAATGTATTTTTTTCTCTTCTTTTCATGCCAGTCTTACAAAATTTGCAATTCAAATTTTGTGTTATAAATTTTATTTTGAAGGAGAACGAAAAAAAAAACGTTCTACTGCACACTTTCCAACACAGTGGGTGGCCATCACATACATATATTTGTACTGGCAAGGAGTAAAGATGATTTGATCTGTTTGTCGTAATTACCCCCTTTGAAGACAGAAATAATACCTTCAACACATTTGATTGTCTGTCTTCACAAAAGTATGTGCATGTATGTGATTGTGAGGAAGGGGGTGGAATACCAAGGTGTTTGGTCTTCCATTACGTTTGGTGACTCTTGATAAGAAACAACTCCATTTGGATCATTAACATTAAATCCATTTACATTGCCACCATAGGGGGAATATATTTGTCAAGTTTGTCGGGTGTTCTGAACTTGATATTGACAAGATTTAAATAAGTAAGAAAACAGCAAAGTTCGAACGGAAAGCAGTGAAATAATAGGAATTTTAAAATGACCATAACTTCTTAGATATTTAGTTTTCGGCGTTTTTAGCTATTATTTGTGATCACTTTTTTAAGTGTGAATTATTGGATATTTTAAAATGGCCATAACTCCTGAAATATTGAATTTTCGGCGTTTTTAGTTATTATTTGTGATCACTTTTTTAAGTGTGAAATAATAGGAATTTTAAAATGGCCATAACTCCTGAAATATTGAATTTTCGGCGTTTTTAGCTATTATTTGTGATCACTTTTTTAAGTGTGAATTATTGAATATTTTAAAATGGCCATAACTCCTTAAAAATTGAGTTTTCTGCATTTTTAGCTTTTATTTGTGATCATTTTTTAAGTGTGAATTATTAGATATTTTAAAATGGCCATAACTCCTTAAATATTAAGTTTTCGGCGCTTTTAGCTATTATTTCTGATCACTTTTTTGAGTGTGAATTATTGAATATTTAAAAATGGCCATAACATCATAAATATTGAGTTTTCGGTGTTTTTATCTTTTGTTTGTGATCACTTTTTTAAGTGTGAAATAATAGGAATTTTAAAATGGCCGTAACTCCTTAAATATTAAATTTTCGGCGCTTTTAACTATTATTTGTGATCACTTTTTAAGTGTGAATTATTGGATATTTTAAAATGGCCATAACTCCTTAAATATTGAGTTTTTGGCGTTTTTATCTTTTGTTTGTGATCACTTTTTTAAGTGTGAAATAATAGGAATTTTAAAATGGCCGTAACTCCTTAACTATTAAATTTTCGACGCTTTTAGCTATTATTTGTGATCACTTTTTTAAGTGTGAATTATTGGATTTTAAAATGGCCATAACTCCTTAAATATTGAGTTTTTGGCGTTTTTAGCTATTATTTGTGATCACTTTTTTAAGTGTGAATTATTGGATATTTTATAATGGCCATAACTCCTTAAATATTGAGTTTTCGGACTTTTAATACCCTCCACCATTTCGAAGGAAATTGAAAAATTTCAACAAAAAAAAAAATCCAAAAACTATTCTACAACTACCACATAAATAAAACCCGTTATATGGAAGCTATATGAAGACGTGGACCCACATATGAAATTTTTTGTCATGGGCTGTAGTGCCCATTACGAATTTCATTAAGATTTGTCACAATTACGGTGAATCATGAAAATACGGAGTATCGGGAGGTACCGTCATATGGAAGTTGTAGTACCCATTAAGATATTTCAATACGAAATTTGAAACGATTACGGCAAATAATGTTGCTGAAATCGTCAAAACACCGACTATCGGGAGGTACAGCTCAATGGGGGCTATACAAAGACGTGGACCTGCATATAAAAATTGATGTCATAGGATGTAGTACCCGTTACGAACTTAAAATACGAAATTCGAAATAATTCCGGTAAATATTATCGCTAAATTCCGGGAGGTACCGTTATAAGGGGGCTATACGAAGATCTTAACCTGCATAGAAATTTTTTTGCCATAGGTTGTAGTACCCATTACGAACTTCCAATACGAAATTTTAAATAATTCCGGTAAATTATGTCGCTAAAATCATGAAAATACCGAATATCGGGAGGTATCATTATATGGGGGCTAAAAGAAAGCGTGGAAGATCTTAACCTGCATACAAATATTTTTGCCATTGGTTGTAGAACCCATTACGAACTTCCAATACGAAATTTTAAATAATTCCGGTAAATAATGTCGCTAAAATCATGAAAATACCGAATATCGGGAGGTATCGTTATATGGGAGCTAAAAGAAAGCGTGGACCGACATGGCCCATTTACGAACTTAACCTGCCTACTGGAAAACTATGCATGTATGCAAAATTGTAGCCTTCTATTTCAATTCGTTTGGACAGGCAGACAGACGAACATCGCTAGATCGTCGGTTAAGATTTTTACGCTGATCCAGAATATATATACGTTGTAAGGCCTATTAGGAATATTTCGAGGAGTAACAAACGGAATGAGAAAGTCGATATACCTTCCATAGAATGGTATTGTCAGCTATATGATTTATTCTAATAAAAATTAAATTTTTGTCTGTGAAGATCCTCAACAATCCATATTCTTAGAAAAAGTACAATAAATACGTCGAATCAGTTTAACTAAACAAAAATATTACATTTTATTGAATTAATTTATTATTATTAATTATTCTTACCAAAAAATTAGTATGCCGACTGTTGGAACATACCATACCGACTATTAGCAAGTGGTGCCGACTACTGGCAAAAAAGCATTGTTTTAATAAAGCTACAAATTTATGAAATTTAATAAAAAGTTATTAAAACTTTATTTATTATTGCAAAAACTATACATAAATTTCGAATCTGAATAAATTAATTTGTAATAATTGAAAAGTTCTACTCAGAATGGTGAGCGATTTAAAACGCGAAAATCCTAAACGTGTCGACTACTGGTACACTAACCCTAAATGTAGAAAATTTTGCTTTACATATGACTCTAACATTATGTGTATGCTAGCTTTTAATGACACCTTAATCTTTAATCGATTCTATGCAAACAACAACAATAACAACATAATTAACACCATTCCACCAAATGGTGACATATAAATCACTTCAAATTGCCGTACCATTTGGGTCGATGAAAATAAAAGTAAAACTGTCAAACTTTGAATGTCTGTCTGGCGAGGACATTTTCTTTTCTATATTTTTTCTCAGACCAATTACACAGTTACATATATGTTTGACAAATAGAAGACATACATACACCCACCGAATCATTAAAATTAATGCATACTTCACGGAGTTTTGCAAATACTATTAACATTTTTCTACGGAAATGAGTCACAAAAGTACAATAAACATAATCTGTTGTGAGATTATAAGCAAAGCACACACATGGACAGACACATCCCCCAGATATGTTTATAGAATTATCCCCCGTCACACATACACACACCCAGATTTCCTTTTATTCCTTGTACTATTTTTTTTACCACAAATAAACCGGAGCAGACACTTTTTTGTTGTTGTGAACATTTTGTTTTGGAAAATGTCGGTAAATGCGGGCCACAATAATGGGCGGCCGGCTTTGTGGTTTTTATTTAAATATAGCAAGGAGTGTGTTTTGAACGCGGTTTTAACAATCAGACATTAGGGAAATAACAAACATAAGCTAGATATTAAAAATTACGTTAGGGTGGATCAAAAATATCCGCATTTGATGAGTTGCAATTTTTTTGAAATAGAAAAACATTCTCAGCATTCTCATGAGGAACAATTTTTACATTCCGTCCTCATGAACTGAAGCAAAGGTACTTCATGAAAAGAATCTTCAACTGTTGAGGACAATTTTTTTTTAACAGAAAAAAAACTTCAGTCGCTAAGGACAAAATTTTTTCCATCGAAAATAAATCCATCGTTATTGAGGATCATTCTTTTTCTGTAGAGGAAAATCCTCATTTGCTGTGGGCCACATTATTTTCATAAGAAAATCCGCAGATTGGAATTTAAGGACTCTTTATTAAGGTTAGGTTGTATAAATAACCACTCCACTCGGAGACCTATTGGTCCATTGTGTTCATCCTAATCAAAAGAAGATAGGAGAATAGAACAAAAAGAAGAGAAGGAAATGAATAAGGGATAGTGAAGAAACGAGAATCTAAATAAAGAGTAGGGAAGTGAGTAGGTTTGCATCCACGGTGTAATCAGCGTGTCGTCACTTTAGCCTCTGGTTAACTGAATAATGTCCGCAGTAGCCGCTGTCTCACTCCTATAAGAGTTGGGCAGTGGCAGAGTAAGTGCTCCACCGTCTCAGTTTCCTCCTCGTCCTGACAAAGCTTGCAGTATTCATTGTCGTCAATATATTCCCTAAAAAAATTTGATTTTCTATTGAGGACTGTTTGAGTGCTATTGAGGACCCTTTCTTAGAGAAATGGGAATATAAGGACATTTCGTTTAACAAAGGATATTTCTAAGGATATGTTTGGAGA